TTCTTCCTTCTTAGGGAGTCGCTAAAGCTTTTAATCTTTAACGTAGAAATTTAGACTCTTTAGACGTAGCTTCCTATAGTCTTATTCAAAAAGGCCCTCTAGCTATTTTAACGTTTAAAGGAAGTCCGTAATTATCCTCGATTCCTTTAAGTAGTCCCCTTATAGCTTAGTCCCTTATACTACGTTTAAGTAAAAGTCTATAAATTCTTTAATATCGCCTTCTATTTCCCTATTTAATATATTAGAAGGTCCTTTAGGCTTTCTTAAGAGTCTATCGGCTACGCTATTTTTCTTGCCTTTAACGTATTATATAGTAAAGTTAAAGAGGAAAATATAGCTTATCTAGCGAGTTACTATAGCTTTAGGGACGTCTTTAAGGGCACCTTTTAGTTAATCGACTAGGACCTATATATTAGTTTCTAGGATAAAATATACGCTATATAGGTATATTCTTAGTCTCCTAAGCATACTTAATATAGCCTTATACTCCCTCTTTATTATATCGTATTTAGCTTTTACTAGTAATTATATTTTACTTTTAAACCTTATAGGGCGCCTCTTTCTATCGACGATTTATATTAAGACTGCCCCTTAGCTAAGTAAACTAGTATTATATATTAGAATAATATCTCCTCTTTCTAAGCTAACGTTAAGGGATACTAGAAAGACTAGATTAGTAATAGCTTCCTTAAGGGTAGCTATCGCTTTTACTTATTTATCTCCCTATTCCTAATAAACTTCTTTCTTTAATAGGTCTATAAGGGGTTTTACTAAGATAGCGAACTATTTAATCTAGATTCGATAGTATCCTATAATACTAAGGAAAGCTCTAATATATATTATATTAAGGTATCTTATCTATTCCTTAATTTTAATAACTTTAGCTTCTATAGGGCACCTTTTATTTATTCTATAGATATAACTAATAACTTTAGTTACTTATTAGTAGAATTTCGATTTAGCCCCTATAATTATATAACTAAAGAGTTTAATATTAACTAGGACTTTATTAAGGTTAATAAGGTATTCGAAGATAAATCTCCTTACTCTTAGCGCTACCTCTTTATTATTATATATTATATCGGGCCCCTTAATACCTATATTATCGAGGAAATTCCTATAGATATTTAGTATAAAGTTTTATAGGATTCTTTATATTATCCTTATAAATTAGCCGACTAAGTTTATAGCCTTTTAAGGAAGTATATATATATATAAGAGGCTAATAGGTATTACGAATATCGTTAAGTTATAGCTTTTAATATTAAGAGGGATCTAATTATAGCTTAAAAAAAGGTCTAGGAGGGAAAGGATCTTATATATCGAGAAGTAGTCGCTAAACTCGTCTATATTCGGCGGTAGGTTTATATCTCTTATTATAATAGTATTTATACGCGTAGCGGAATTAATTAAGCGTAGTCCTTTATCTTTCTTTACTACTAGAAAAAAAGGGTTCCTATAAGGCCTATACCCTTCTTTAAGGACTCTTATTTCTAGTTTAATTTTAAGGATATCGATAACTTTCTACTTTATCGCTTTTAGGATCGGGATTAAGGCTACTTACTACGCTTTATATTCTATTATCTTAATAACCTATAGGGGGGCTATAGCTAGGTCGACTTTACCTCTTTCTATAAAGTCCTAGGATAATGCTACTTCCCTATTAAATAGAATACTATCGAAGATCCGGATTTCTACCTTTATAAGAAAGCCCTTAAATTATTTATAAATTACTTTAAGTCTTTCTTATATTAGCCGCTTTCCTTTCTATATACTTAAGAATTTTCCTATTAAGTATTCTAAGTAGGGTCTAAGCTATATCTTATCTTTAACGGTATTCTATTTAGTTTTCTTTTAGTTAGGGTCCCCTTTTAGTATTAAGCCGTTTAATAAAGTATCGTTAATAGGGTTAATCTTATTTACTTTTCTTTTAAAGAGAGTATTAACTCTTAGATTATATAATCTAATAGGTCGTTTCCTCCCTATCTTAACTTTAACCTTCTAGATCTTTCTAAACTTCTTTCTAGCTCTAATAAATTTTTCTTAAATTCTCCTATAGCCTCTATAACTATAACTTTAATAATCTCTTTTACTATCTTAGATCTAATAGCTAGAATCGCCTTATCTCCTTTATTTATAATTAATTACTATCGTACTAATACTATTAAGGGCTCGTTTACGCTAGCGTAGGCTAGGTTAGGGACTTAGTTAGCGCCCCTTCTATAACTAAGGATCTTACCTCTTAGTAAGAGAATCTCGGCCGTCGGGGTATTTATAAGGGGTTCTCTCTATAATTATTAGGTAGCTCCTAGGTTATCTTCTTTAACTTTTATTACTAAAGCCTAAAAAAAATTTCTTAGGAGCTAGGTAGTTATTTCCTATATAGTCTCCTTAAGCTTTAGTCTTTCGTATACGTTTTTATTAACTATTAAGGTTATAGTTTAAAAGGATTTTACTATATTAACCTTATTTAGAAGCTCCTATCTAATAGCTCCTACCGCTAGTATAACTACCTAGATAGTACTAATCTAATATTTAACCTATATATCGCTATTCCTTAAGGAATAATTAAATAATATACGCACGGCTCTAATAAATAGTATACCTAGGATAAAGGGGACTAAGACTCCGTCTAACGTAATATAAAGATAGATTAATATCTAGGCTATACCTAGATAGAGATTAGTCTCTACCTCCCTAACTATATTTATAAGGGACCCGGTATACGCCGTTATTAATACTCTTATTAGTAGGATTTTAAGCTTATATACGTTTATATATCTTTTAGTAATAAGGTTTCTTTTAGACTTAGTATCGATTAAGGCGCTTAGAACTTTAGCTTTCTAGCTACCGAGCTATACTTAAATATAGGGTAGGTCTTATATATACTTAAGCAAGCGGAAAGGTATAAAGACTATATTTATATATATTATAGGAATCGCTATAAGGTTATTTAGAGTTATCTCTTAGTATCTTATTAAGAGTACTACTTCCTATATAATAAATTCGTCTTTCTTTAGTCTTATTACCTCTAGAGTTTATTAATTAAATAGTCCTTAAGCTAGTTACGTTACGTTAATTATATTAGTTATAAACCTAACTTCTTTTAGTACTTATTAGACTTTAAGGCACTTATAATTTAATTCTTTATAAGTAAGGTAAGTAAGCTTAATTAGTTCGACCTAGTATTCTTTATTCTATTCTTTAACTTATATTAAAGCTACCGTAAGTTTTCTTTATAGATATTTAAGGAGGAGTAAACTACTCTCTATATTATCTTTAGCTACTTTTATAACTATTATTATAGCTTTATAAGGTCTTATATTACTCTTTACTTTCTCTAGGGTCTAGAATTTAGTATTTTCTATACCTTAGGCTATATCTATATATCTTATACTAAGTCTCTCGCTTAGTTAAGGAATAAAGTTAATTAGGTAATTTAAAGGGATCGGGATTCTTTTATATATAATTTCTCTAACGATTTTATTTATAAGTCTATTAAACTTCTTATTTAGATCTACTCTATATCTATAGTATATAAGGATAATCTTTAGGCTAGTTTTTACTATTCTTATTATCTCGATTTCCTTTATATCCTTTTTAACTCTTTATCTTTTCCCCTTATAGGTATTAATCCTTATTATAGTTATATAGATTATCTAATTATATATATTACTTTATTATATATTATCTATAATTATAATAACCGATATCCTTCTTACTTTTTTTCTTATATCGCTTACCTTTAGATTCCTTAGCTTCTACTTATACAGCTTCTATATCTTTAAAACTAGTCTAGAAACCAGATTCTCCTTTACTAATAGCTTAATTTAAGTAAGATAGTATAACTATAGCTTTAACCTATTTTATAAGTAGTAATATAAAGGAGTCTAGCTATATATCTACCTAGTATATAATAAGCCTTTAAATATATATACCTATTTAAGAAAACCTATTAGTAAGTATTAAGGGAATTATACTTTTATTATCTTTTCTTTTAAGGTAAAGAGTCTTATTTACTACTTTATATATTATAAATCCGATCTTATAGTCCTAAGAGTATACCTTATACTTATTAAGGTAGTATCCTTCTTTAGTATAATAGAAGTATCTCTTAAGCTAGTTAAAAGCATTAACTTAAAACTATATATATTAATTAGATAGGTAGTAAAATCCGATAGTATTTATACTACCTCCTTATCTATAACTTAAAGAGTAGCTTTTACTACTAATACGTCTTTACTCCCTATTAAGCTAGTTAAATATCTACTCTTACTAGTAAGTAAGGTTAATCTTTATATCTTTAAAGGCTTTTATTAAGTCTAAGATCTCCTTTACGGGCTATCTAGGTTTCTTATTTATTTTCTTTAACTCTTTAAGAAGTTTTTCTTTACCCTTATTAGATTTAGCTTCTTTTATTACTTCGTTAATTTCCCTAAAGAGCTAGTCTTTTTTTAGGTTCTTAAGCTTTTAATTATAAACTTTAAATACTATATCTTATCGCTTAACGTCCTAGCGAGGTACTAAGTAGTTATTAATTATATAGATAAGGCTTTTATATAAGAGTTTTAAGATAACTTTAGATATCTTCCTATTTCTTTCTATAACGTTAATAATAAGCTCCTTTAGTATTATATAGTAAATAAAGTATAACTAAACTATAGATTCTTCCTAGCTATTAGGTTATATTATAGAGTAGGTAGAGGCGTACGCGTAGGTACTATTTATAGGATAATATTAATAAGCTATATAGAGCTCTCTAAATCGCGGCTAGCCTATATATATATATATAGGATCCGGCCCTCTATACGTAATTATACGGCTTAGGCTATAGCCTAAGCCTATAACCTATAATAGTTAAAGACTCTTATATAATACCCTCCCTTAAGCGCGGCGCGGCGTTGCTTTATTAATAGCTTTTATATTATAGGGCCCGTACTACTAGCTCTACCCTACCCTTTTCCGTTAATCGTACTAGCCCTACGAGCCCTATTATCCCTATGCCTATTAGCCTAGGTAGCTAGAACTAAGCTTTATACTTATTAGCCGGCTAGCCGTTTAAATAAGGGCGCAACCTATTATATACGCCCCTAAGTAGCCGGCGGCCAGCCTAGACCTACGTAAGCCTTAGGTTGCCCGTCCCCTTAGCCTTAGGCAGCCTCCTCTACCTAGGGGTATATAAGGCGGCATCCCCCCCTTCCTCCTTCCTTTCTTTCTCCTCCTTCTTTAACCGTAGTAGTAGTAGTAATAAGTAAGTTCCGCTCTACCTAGGGCGTTAGTTCGTTCTTAGCTATATAGGCCGCTTTATTAACGTATACTTATAATAATAGCTATAGTAGTAATAATAGCCCTAATAATAATAACTTTAACTAATAAGTTCTCCGCCTTATAGAGCGAGAGGCCGTAATCTATAATACTAACTTCCGCGATAGATATATCTACCTCCCTCTCCCCCGCTTCCTCTTTCTCGGAGCGTATAGAGTCGTTCGTTAACGCTATACTAAGCACGGCCGAGGACGGCTCTACCGCTACCGCTACTCCTACCCGCGCCCCCGCGACCGCGCCTACCGCCGCCGCCTCTACCTCTACTACGCTAGCCGCCCTCACGTCGCCCTTCTAGGTAACGACGCTATCCCCGCCGCCGGCTATAACGCCCGGCCCCTCTACCCCCGCCTCCGCTACTACTACCCCCGTAAGTCTACTACCTAGTAAGCGTAGTAGCTATTTTCCGCTAACTTCTTAAAGTTGCCGCCGCCGCCGCCTACTATAATCTCCGCGCCCTCGAGCGCTAGGGCCTTGTCCCTAAGTAAGTTCCTCTTATCTAGCTCTTTTACTTCCGCTACTAACTCTCTTAGTACTAAGGATACTACCTCTATCGCCTTATCGGCGGTCCCCTTAGCCGTACCCGCCGCTGCCCCCGCTACTACTACTAGCTAGGCCCCCCCTACCCCTAGAGCCCTTAGAGCCGCCGCTACCGCCGACTAGCTCGCGGGCCTAGAGGGCCGCCTAAGCGCCCTAGAAAGCGCCGCCGCTATTAATAAGGTAGAGGAGGACGACGAGGATAAGGATAAAAACAACGATAAGGATAAAGAGTAGGTCTAAGTAGTTTAAGGGCTTTACCCTAAAATAAACGCTATTTTTATCTCTGCTTATATAATTACGCTTATATTATTATAACTACTTACTTTACTTTACCTACTTTATAGTCCTAGCTTAAGCTACTATCGGTAGTCCGCTAGTCTATCGTTCTTATTTATTATTCTAAATAAGGCTTTAAACTTATCGAGGGCTATAGTTCCTATAAACTTATATATAGGTTCTTATATAAGGTTAAGATACCTATGCTACTTAATAAGGACCTCCTAGCGTTTCCCCCTACCGACCTTTTTCTAGCGCGCGGCCTATATTTCTTTAACCTTAAACTCGTCCTTTCCCTTTACCTCGATTATAGGCGGTTAAGCGTCCGCTACTTCTTATTTAAGTAGTAGGTTAAAGGAGGCTCTATAAAGGAGGTCTATATTAATCTTATTATAGACCCTTATTAGGAGACTATCGAGCTCTATAACTTATAGGCTAATAACCCTCTATACTATAAACTTCGCGTATAACTAGTTAAGCTTTTTCTTTAGTCGTGCCGACCTATAGTTATAGAGGTCTAGCTATACCTTATCTCCTACCGCGAACCTATCTACTAGGGCCCTAGTCTTATTAGCGTGCCGCTCTTAATCTTACGCCGTAGCGGCTATTATAGATTAGTAATAATCCGTAGTCTCCTATAGCTTTTATATAAATATAAAGGCGCGGCCCTTTAGTAATAAATTACTATACTACTCCGCTACTATATCTATAGTAAAGGGAACTAATAAAGGTAGTTCGAAGCTATACGTTATAAAGAAAGGGGCTATCTTAATAAAGGTATATAGTTTACTATTTAACGTAAGTTAGGCTATAGGGAGCTACTAGTCTTAGTCTATTTAATTATAAGCTATAATAGCCTATAGGTAAGCCTACGCCTCTTAGTTAACCCTCTTAAGCCCTCTATTAGTCTATAGGTAATATACTATACTAAGTAGCTATATAATCTAAAGTAGCTAGTATAGGTACTACTAAAAGCGGCTAGTTTAATTCGATCCCCTATTACTTATAATAGAGGCTAGCTAGCTATACGAGCGGGCCTAGTACTATAGGAAGCGCTCTATATAAGACTCTATATCTATAAATAGTATCGGCTTTAATATTATAGACTTACTAAGTTAGTCCTTAATTACCTATATATAGTAGTTGCCGCCCTTTATAAGTAGGAGGTCTATTATAAAGTCTATCTATATATATATATAAAACCGGTCGGGTACTAAAAGCTACTTAAGTAGCCCCTTAAGCTATACCCTTTAGATCTTTATACGGCTATAAATATCGTAGTTATAAAGGAAGCAACGAACGTAGTACTATAAGAGGGGCTAGTAAAAGTCCTTCGTAAGGCCTACTACTATACCCTATCTACCTAAGTAACCTATAACGCTAGAGTTATAGATAAGTTAAACTAGCCTCCCTTAAAGCTTATTCTATTTATCTAGCTTTAGCGGTCCCTCCTTCTCCTTAGCTTCTATAGTATATAGTACGCCCGGTACCTATAGTCTCCCCCGCTAGCGTAAATACCCTTATAGGTCGATATAGTAGTCGGCTACCTATACCTTTAGCTTTAGCTTTAGATCTAAGTATCGAGCGCCGGACTTAATAGTATAGCGTACGCCCTCGTAGGTGCGGTTTAGAGCCGCTATCCTATCCTATAAGCGTTAAAGGGCCTTATCTTAGAATACTCTTACCGCGCGCGCCCCTAGGCCGGTCTATCCCTCCTTGCTAGACCGAGGTAAGGGCGTAAGGGGAAGCTTATTCGCTAGCACTACGTCTTCCTCTACTAGGGAAGCTCTTATATAAGTCTATAGTACTTCTTATAGGATAAGCTATAGATCCTAGGCCTTAATATCCGCTCTTATTAGCTAGTCTTAATCCTTTTAAGAAAGCGCGTTTAAGACCGCGGAGTCCCGCTTAAGGCAGTACTTAATCGAGAAGTTAAAGTATAAGAGATACTCCGCCTAGCGGGCTTACCGCTCCGAGAGGTACTAGCGAGTTATAAAGTACTTAAGGTTCTTATAGTCTATAAGAACCTCGAAGCTCTTATAGCTCCGGAGCTCTACTTACTATTACTTAAGGTAGCTAATAATCGCTAGTATCTCTTTATCGTAAATAGTATAATTCCGCTCTACTAAGGTTAGCTTATAGGAGTAGAACGCTATTAGTTACTTCCGCCTATCTACCTCCTAAGAGAGCGTTCCTTTAAGTACCTAGCTACTATAGTTTACTTTAACTAATATAGACTAGTTAAAGTCTTATTAGAGTAGTACTAGGGCTTAAGAGAATAGGTCCTTAAGTATATAGAACGCTCCTTCTTATATAGGCCCTTAGTAAAAGGCGGTCTACTTCCCGGTAATCTTATTTAAAGGTATTATAATACGAGAGAAGCCCTTAATAAATATCTTATAATAGTTCGCGAACTTAAGGAAGCTCTATATACCTATTTACGTAGTTAGGGCAGCTTAGTCCTAAATCGCCTAGATCTTTATAGGGTCCGCCTATATACCTACGCCTACGTAGATAATAAAGCCTAGGTACTTAACCCTCTTAACCTTAAATTCGTACTTATCTAGGTTAAGGTAGAGCCTATAAAGTTAAAGGCGCTCTAAGACCCTTTATACTTTCTATATATAGTCCTCGTAAGAGCCGCTCGTATAAATAAGGATATTATCTATATATATAGAGGCGAACTTATTAAGGAAGTCCTAAAGTATATTATTAATATAACGCTAGAAGGTAGCGGGCGCTCTTAAGAGGCTAAAGGGCGTTATAAGCTACTTAAATAAGCTATAGTATATATAGAACGCCGTTTTCTACTTATTACCCTCTAAGATCTATACCTTATAAAACGCTTATTTTATATCTAGCTTTGTAAACTACTTTACCTTTAAAAAGTTATAGAGCGTATCTAAGATTAAGGGTAAGGGGTAGCGGTCTAGCCTTATAATTATATTTAAGGCCTTATAATCGCAATAAAACTATATCCCGCCCCTTAGTTTATATATAAATAGGACTAGCGCTCTTACTTTAGAGCTACTTACTTAAATAAAACCCTTATCTAAGAGGTTCCTTAGCGTCTTCTTTAGTACTAGTAGCTCCGCGTATAATATACTATATAGCGGTCTAAATAGTATAGGTAGTTCCTACCCTTTCTTATCGGTATAGAGTATAATCCTATAGTCTACCCCTAGCTTATATAGGTTAAGCTTATCTACTTCCTAGGACTTAAATAGTAGTAGGAGGTTGTAAAAGCGCTCTAGTATCTATTACTATAGCTTAGAGGGCGACTTTAGCTTCTTTATCTAAAGGGCCTTATCGATATCCGCTAGGCTAACTATATAGACCGCTACGTTAGCTACTACCTAGCCTTACCCTTACTTTACCTATTATATAGTTCCTACGAAGATAGAGGCAAGGACTTCTTATACTAAGTATAAAGCTTATATACTTAGTCTTATACCTATAAAACCGTCGTCGTAGTAGACCTACCGTTATATAAGCTTAAACTATAGCTTCCTTTAATATAGAACTAAGTATAACTCTATATATAATAACTAGGGTTTCCTAAGGATTAAGGGAAACTTTAGTTAAGGGATTATATAAGCTACGATAAGCTTATAGTAACCGTTAACCTTTATAGCTAGCTACGTAATGCCCTTAATTACTATACCCTCTATCGCGCTTAAGGCGCCCTTTACTCGCCTTAGGGCGATCTTTTTTACTAGTACTTATATCTCTTATATAAGCGCCTCGTTAACTACGGCGTAGTACTAGTAGCCCTTATCTATAAGGGCGGTAATAGGTAAAGAGTTATTAATTATAACCTATATTAAAGTAAGCTCCTCTTTTATATAGGCGGATAATTCTTCCTTCTCCTTTACTAGTACTAGTAATTAAGGCTCTAGAGCCTATCTTTACTCCGGAGCTACTCTTTTTCCTCTAGGCCTAGGGGGGCGGAGTCCTCCTTATCGTCTAAGGTAAGGAGCGGTTCTATCTTCGCTACTTAAACCGCTATAGGCCGCTTAGCTAAAAGGAAGGGGTATTTTAATATAAAGTACGTAGATACTCCGTAACGTAAGTAGCGGCCGTTAGCCTTCCTCTTCTTAATTTCCTCGCTCGTTACCTACTTCGCCCGCTACTTAGAGTATAGGGCGGTATAAGGGGTAGTTAATAGCGTCTTCTTACCGCGTTTAGCCCGGTCCGTGCGGGTAGCCGATATTAAAGTATCCCCGTCTATATCGATAGCCGGTTATTTATCTTACGGAGGGGCGGTAATCCCGTCGCCGCTATACGGCGTGCGCTTATAGAGCTTTTAAAAACGCGGCGTTTACTTATAGCCCTAAGCTACCTTTATTAACCGGCTTATATACTCGCCGTAGTTAGTAGGTATAATTATAGGGATAAGTAGCTCCTATAGGGCCAGCGTAATCGAATTCTATAGCTATATAAGCTTCGCGCTATCTTCCTATACTATAGTCCCCGCTGCCTATAAGAGTATCTCTTTAAAATTAAGAAGGAATTCGCTAAAGGTTTATCTATCTCTTTACTTAAGGGTCTATAGCCTATCTTATACCTTCTCCCGCTCCTATATATTGCCGAACGTATATATAAGGTATTAGAAGAAGTCTTATAGGTCGCGTCTGCCCCTAGGGCCGCCTTT